TCTACAATAGAAATCATAGCGATCGTAGGGCCTTAAGTCGTAGAAAATCATTAATGATACTTACAGCTGACGGCATATTTTCTTGATTTTCCATAATTTCGTGGTAATTATAAAAAAATTCAAAATCCACTTCAAAAATCAATGAAATTAAGTTTATTCGATGCGTTTTTGTATGAAACGGAAGAAATCTGGCAAAATAAAGCGTCGCTCTGCCCCACGAACCAAGATATTAAGCGTTAATAAAAAATAAACCGCTGATTGTTGCATATAGGCATAAACGGCGCGTATGTAAAACGGCGGATCATCGGTGATTGGTCGAATCCTTTGATACGCGAATACGCGCGTACAGTGATACGCGTCATGGGACGGCACCCTAAGAGCATTCGGCGGATTCAATAGTTGAGTGAGCGCTCGCTGTTATTGGTGTATTTTTTTAGCTCATCCAATCAGAATTTTAGATTTAGAAGAATACACCAATAACAGTGAGCGCTCACTCAACTGTTGAGTCCGCCGAATGCGCCCAATGGCAGCAGTAAGGGTGCCGTCACATGCGGCGTGACCAGCGTAAGCGTAACTTGCACTGACCAATCATATCGTTTCACTTGAACATCAATTTCTGTCTAGTCATTTTATGCTCTGCCCCACGAACCAAGATATTAAGCGTTAATAAAAAATAAACCGGTGATTGTTGCGTATAGGCATAAACGGTGCGTACGTAAAACGGCGGATCGTCGGTGATTGGTCGGATCCTTCGATACGCGAATACGCGTGTACAGTGATACGCGTCATGGGACGGCACCCTCACTGTCCCGAATCAATGCTAATCAATGCTCCGAATCAGTGCTAACCAATTCGATTGGCTTCACTTCAGAGCTAAGAGTTCGGCTATAAAAATGGTATTGTTTGCAAATTCGATTACGAAACGGTAAATTATATTAATAAATTACATGTATTTTTATTTTTACCTAAATACCGATATATCTTACATGAAATTGTTAATTGTAAATTGTTAATTGTTAATTGTTAATTGTTTAAAAATTTCTGAATTTTCATATAATAATTGTAATTTATTAAATGTTTCTCTCTTTAGACGAAGGTGT